TTCGAATCCGCGCCGCAAGATTACGAGACAAGCTCGTTACCTTTAGGCTACAGGCCGAATAGTGAGATCCGATTATGCGCCTACTTCCCTATATGTCCGAATGAAACGCTAAACACGCATCAGTATTTTCTGTCGATTTCAGATGATATATTCTAGAGATTAAATAAGGCCATTAAGATGGATCTATCGAATGCGTATCTGCAAGTTTAAGTTTATGAAAGCTCAAGGGATTTATTGGCTTTAAATACGCCCAGTGGTTTCTATCAGTATCACGGACTTTCGTTCGGAGTCAAATGCGCACCAGTTACATTTCAGCGAATCATGGATGCGGTGCGGACAAACGTAAAGGGGGCTACCACGTATATGGATGGCGCCATTGTTGTCGGAACAACCGAAGTAGACTTCTTCAGAAAGCTGCATTGGCTACTTGATCGTATACATGAGTATCGATTCAGGCTCCGCCCTGAGAAGTGCACATTATTCATGCTTTTATTTACTCTCCTTGCTTTTGTACTTGATATGGACGGGAGACGCTCAGATCCAGCGCTGTCCCCTTGCTGAAATTCTTCTTTGCACTCGCCAGTCATCACAACCAATTTCTGCCGCAAAAACATGTCATGTGTGGACCGCTTAATGGGCTACTTGCCAAGAACCAACGCTGACACTGGTCCGATGGACTTCTGTATTCCGACCTCTTGCTGGCACACTACAAGCCTACACCGGAAATCGTGGTGGCGGACGCTTCGAACTATTGCATTGGTGCAATTATCTCCCACAAGTTCGATGATATTTCTGAAAAAGCCTTTGCACGCACTACCCGGTCAGTATCACCAAGCATAATAAAGTAACGGTCGGATAGAAAGAGGCTTTAGCGGTAGTATTCGCAACAAATAAATTTCACAACATGCTACATGGAACAAAGGTTACTTTGCTTACCGACCACAGGCCTCTCTTGACAATATTCGGATCAACGTCTGGCAAACCTGTCTACATCGTGAACAAATTGCAGCGTTGGGTCTGCTTTTTGCTCCGTTATGGTTTTATAGTCTCATACACAGCTACAGAAAAAATCCACCAGGTAGCGGCGCTTTCCCGACTACTAAGAGACTAGTAGCACCATCAGAAAGAGTCTATTTTTGCAGCGATGTTTTTCCAATCAGAAGTGAATTGTGTATTGTTACAGAGTTTTCAGAGTCTTCCTTTGACCTTCGAGATGGCTGCTAACGTATCTGTGCTGCTAGCGGCCAAACCCCATACTACTCTTTGGCCGAGTGGCAATCTAAACGGAGAATTACAAATTTTGCCTCGGAGGAAAGACGAGCTACCAATCATTAGTGAACGTTTATCTCTAGTCGAAGGAATTGTCATTCCCATTAGCTTAGCCAGAGTGTCCTCCAGAAATTTCATCAAAGTCATCCTAGATTAACCGAATAAACAGCGATGCGCGAATTTTCCTCTACTGGCCAAAAATTGATTCAGAACTCGAGCAACTGACATATCATGTCAGAGATGCGCACTTGATAGTATGGTATCTAGAAAGGCTGCACTGGCTTCTTGCGCGTCGGCGATGAAGGCATAGGAGCATATGACAAGTGGTGCAACGGTTAACGTCTTGAGAGCACTTTTTAGTCAGCACGGAATACTTGGGGAGCTAGTCACCGACAGTGGCTCTCAGTTCACCTCCTCTTAATTTGCCGAGTATTGCGTACAGAATGGTATCGCGCATTTACGTCGCCCCCTTTCACCCCCAGTCAAATGGACAAACGGAGCGCTTCGTCTTTACGTCTCAGCGATCGCTACTAAAGATGATGAGGAAGTAACCACACAGGATCCACTAGATTCTTTCCTACTATTGTATAAGTCAACCTCAACCACCAGTTACCAAATCAGCTGTCACCAGCAAATGCACTAATTGGAAGAAATTCCGTACCGTGAATTCCTTGATGCTTCCGAGACGTACTCTCCTTCAAGAAATGGATCCCCGAATTGAATATCAATACAGTCAACGACACAGGACGCAATTACACCGATTCTACCTTGGACAACATGTTTCGGTCAGTGGCTAATGTATTGGAAGCGCACGGTGAGCGACATAATCAATCAAGAGGAGACTCGTTCGAGTACTCCATGGGGTCAAAGTTAGCATGTTGATTTGTAACAGGCATGCCAATCATCTGCGGCCAACTAGCTTCCCGTTAAGCACAAGTCGTCAACTGCTGCCGCTAGATATCCTACTGGACAGTTTCGATATTCCATCGATTACTCAGAAGGCTTTAGATGCAACCCACTCAAAAGTTCCAAGAGTCGAAAATGTAACCACGACGCTGGAATGATCATGTGCAGAGATCCGTTATCAGAATGCATTCTTATCCGAAAATGAAGTCTTATGTCGACACTTACAGGGAGCCCACCCATAGAATACTTCGGAGCGGGTCGTTTCGCTAACATCCTGGAGAATTTTGATCCGACGCAGCCGGATTCTAATTTGCTAGTCAATGAAAGTGATTTACCTTGAAGCTTCCCAATAAGAATAAAATCTGCCACTTTGGGCAGCCAACAAGCACATTTTCAGGCACCCAGTAATTACTGGACTCCAATAACATTCAACTCGATCATCCGCTCATTAACTACATATTTTAACCCCATTCCTGACTATACATACTGTTTTCTGGGTGCACAATAGAGGTCTTAACAAAGACTTCTAAGGAGCGTTCTTATCCCCTGTAATAACTGTGATATCTGAACTGGTAGCACTGCGAAGCAGCATGCTTATCTCTTGGTAGGAGGTGTCTTAAGAACTGCATTCGGTTGGGACGTTAGTAAAAACCACAGACAGCGTCCAATACTTCTTCGTAAATCAACCTTAGTTGATGTCATCAAACGGGCTGCTGACGTAAGTGCAGTCAACCAACGATGACTCAGCCCTAGAGCTGAGAACGATACTAATCCCACCTTTACCCGTGGTTGCCACATCAGCATCTCCAGATTCCTGTAACCATTAGCGAGAGGGCGAGCCGGGCGCACTTAATTCAACAACCGCGTGAGGGTCATTGATTTTAGTTTCGGACACGCAGCACACATCAATATCCAGGACACCCAATGTGCGTGCCAGTGCAGTCTGTGGACATATTTGTCTTAGAGTGCGAACGTTGAACGCCGCCAGGGAAACGGGACAGCATGATCTTATTAGGAACTGTCGCCATTAGGCATGGGTGCGGGAAGGTAGCTGCGGGTAGTTCAACTCCAGTGGCATTACGGCTGCTGTTAATTAAGCTGGGAACTAAAGAAGAAAAGAGGGGAGTAAGAGAGAGGGTAAGAGAGACAAGTGGAAAAGAAAGCATGGAGGCGCCAGCAGTAGCATATTTCCGCTTATCCAACCTGCTGTATGCAGCAGATAAGGCGACCCTTGATGGGCTGCGCGACGGCCGTTGCAGGATGTACTTAACGTTTGAGGAAATAGTTTTGGTTATGTGTGGGCTGAGATACTGCCAGGGCGCCCAGAGTTAGACAGGAGGACGGTTAGGGTCCTCAACCAAATCCTTTGGCTCAAATGCCTGTCCGCAAGGCAGCGGAGAAGTGGTAATGAAATGGACGCCATCCCATTTCAAACCCCCAACCTGGAGGACCAGAAGACTGAGTTTGTCTGACCTCTCACCATTGACCAACTTGGTAGGAGTAGCTCTCAAGGAACGCGGGGGCCCCATCTATTATAGCTCATTGGGTCGACGAGGTGCGCAACCGTCACACCACATTAAGGTACAGTCTCGTCGTGACAATGTCGACACGTCTGCGAATCGGTTACTTTTCCTTCTGATTTGACTTGGCAACGGCAGCCCAAGTCACTGGTGGCCAAACTTGGTGTCATTGGTCCATCTCGTCTTGCCCTGTGCTTGGCTCGTGACTTTACAGGAAATGGTTCGTATTTGGCATCAGTGGCACGTTTGCTGTTGTCTCCTAGTCGGATTGTCTGTTTATATTATGCTTGATGCTGATTTGTCTACAGAGTACTGGGGGCTTATGACGCGGACCAGTAAAAGCCGCAAGGACGCTCTCTCGCCGAAATCCCCTTATCTTTGCGCGGTAACTATATGACCGTAACACTATATTCTTGACGAAGTGTACGCACCTTGGCCATAAATGTTTGTTTAGAGGTGAGGTGTCCAAACTTTTCGCAAGGAGGGCCACATGTTGTGATGTAAAATATGTCGGGCTATATTCAGTCCGATGTTAAGATAATAACAGAATTATGCATGTTATAACTTTTTATTGCAAGTTTTTACTGTGAAGGATGAAACTGCGAATTTGAGATTTTTGATTTAGTTAAGGCCACCTTTGTTAGAGGCACTAGACTGTTAGTTAATCAAAAATAAACAGCATATAACTGATTTTCGCCAGCATCTAACACTATTGAATTTTGTACTCATAACATGTTTAATTTTTTGTAATCTATATATCTTATTGTTTGTACGAAAAATATTTCAAGTTTGAATTTATTATTTCATGACGAGGCCGCAGGCCGGATTTTGGACATCCCTTACTTAGAGCATTTAGGTTTTTACACTAGGTCCCCTGCTTATTCTTCTTTATTCCTTGGGTTATTTTGATCGTACGGCATTTTAATTAACTGATGGGCCGTTGTTGTTGCTGCTGTTTATCTTCCACCTACTGTCTGCATATCGCGATCTTTGTTTCGTTCGGAGCTGTTCCCATTAACATTCTCTTCGTTCTCACAGTCTTTGGAGGACTTAATCCTACACTTGCGTCCAGTCGCCTTCCTCCAACTTGTGTTCTCTGTATCCAGCTACCATAGCTTTCTCTTAATATTCGATTTTTCATGTCGTGCTGGAATCATGCGTCAAAGTAACTATTCATGATCGAACTAGCGAACGTCATTTTTGATTTTCTTATCTGCACGTACTGTCACAAAATCTCACTACATGTGGTTAATCATCACTGCTTCATAGTGATGTTTATTTCATGTTTCGTTTATTTGTTTTAAGGTCTCCAGCCTCAATCGTCGTTTTGTCCGTTGTGATGTTGTGGCTGTTGGCGACGTCCCGCTAGCTGGATCTTTCAGGGGGCTACTCAGACGCGAAGATATACGGGCAACGTTGAGAGATCAAGCAGAGCCCGTTCAATGTTTTCGTCCTGGCGACTTGATTCGGGCACGAGTGATCAATCTGATTGGTCCGGGGATGAGCTCACAGCCATTAATCGTCCCCCACCAAAGTGTCTCAACGGACGCCGCCGCCACGCTACTTGCTGCACAAGCTGTCTCGGCCTCTGTTGGTGCAGCCTGTGACGCTTCTTCTGGGTCATCGTCCAGCGCTGCTTGCTTGCTCTCAACCGCTGAACCCGGTTTGGGTGTTGTACTCGGACTGGGCCGCTCACCGGACACTCCTGCTGCTGAACTACTGGGTAGCACTGCCGGTTGTCCCCTTATTCCAGTCTCATGGACGGAAATGGTGTGTCCACATACACTGGCCCGTTTTCCCCGAAAGGTTGCTCGGGTTCCTGATGAGTTATTAATGCAACTTGTAAAAATGGATGTCGAATAGAGACTCTGAACAATGCGCTTATTATTTCTGTATGGTTATTTCCCAAGGATTGTTCAGAGAGAAACTCATTGTGACGATGATCCGAAGTAGCACAATTTGTGAGGCTCGAAGAAGTACAAGTTCGGACCGCCGTGCGATAGCGTGTGACTAGTAGTCCACTTTTAGACCAACCTGCATACTTATGTTGCACTTTGTTATTTGCCAAACTTTTCCTTTTTCATGATTACTTCGCTATTGGCAAATGAGATGAAATTACGACCTTGATAACCTCTTTCAACCACCTCACATCGGGTTACGCACCTTTGATTCTCAAAGACTTAGCTCACTAGTTATCACCTCAACCTACTCTCCCTCAGCCTCTATTTTGGCATCACTTCATGATGCCTCTTTGGTTAACCTGGCGGTGCCTCACCTTTGTGCAGTTGTCTGCCTTCGTTGGTAGGAGAGCATTACTTACAGTACAATGATTCCCTATTGACTCATTTGTATAGCGGGTGTAATAGGTTCCTAGTTTTCATTCACTTTTTTACTGTAAATGCAAACTCTCCCAGGACGCTTGCGCCTACAGATACGCCCTACATGGTCTATCCACACTACCCAACACTTAAATGAATGGGGCTAGTGTGTTCGCGGTAAAAGGGTACGGTTGCCTAATGATCGCACGATACCAATACCGTGGATGTGCCGCTCGCGGAATGACATATACCACAGTGATGACTGCGCTGTGGCTTTTTTAACAATACCACCGAATCAAGCCAAGCTAGGCTTTGTGCACCGGGGCCTTCGAATTCAGCTGTTTTTGTTGTCATCGGAATGTCTTTTTACGCTACTCACTGCGGATTCTTTGGATCTACCGACATTATTTTACCGTTTATTTAGATGAGCCCATTTCGTAGTCACGGATATCCTCATACTCTTTTGATGACTTCACTTATCTTCGAAACAATTTACGAAAATCACCTCTGCTTGAGTACAGTCATAAGATCAAAAGTGTTTTCAAAAGAATAATCAAGAAATTTTCAGTAAAAATATTCACTCTGCTGGCAGGTAGGAGTCAAGTGCTGTTCTTCAATCAATGCATACATTCCGCTGATCCTATCCAGCAATATACGATCACTTTCGGGAAAATTACTGATTTCACCAATATTTTTCCGCGACGCGGATTTATTAATGCAGGTATAGGGTTGTTACAGGAAATTGGTTGCATTCTGATATCGATGATGAGTTCGGTAAACTCAATGCCTACCACCACCTTAGATGTGACCGCCCAGGAGAGCCCCATCATCGCAGAGGTGTCATCATCTACATTAGCGAAGTTTGATGTAAATCTGTTTCAATACTCCCATAATACTCAACAACAGCAATAACCTGGTAACTATTTGAATGCAAACCAAACTTTCTGATCGTTTCCTAACTGAGGTAGTTGCGGATATGTGTGTAGCTCCTGACACAAAACTATTCCACCTACAAAACTTAGCAGTTCACCTTGCCTCGGAGTTACGACCAAAGTTAGAGTGCTCAATCTGTGTTCCCGCTGGTGACTACAGTACGAATGACATAGCTTTCCTTGACGCGATTAGCTTGGCCAGTTCGGTGGAATTCCTCACTAGACTAGGTGCGCATCTACAAACATTTCGTTTTTACTAGCAAGCTCAACCTGTTATGTACACAAAAGCGTGCTCCCCATGGTACTTCCAACAGTTGCATGACAAAAACGGTTCCATGACGGCAGAGCACATGAAAAAAGTGCTCGCAAACATTGCGCATAGCAAAAATCACACGCAAAGAATGTGCACACGGAAATATGCTAGTTCGATCAATTGCTATATACTCGACTGCCGTACTTGACAAAACTCCCATGATTCCTTCAGAATGCTCATCAGACAGAACACTACTCACCTGCTGCAGTTTACTGAAGCCTCAGCAACTCGACGGCTCTACCGCACAAACCGAGTTCGTGGTCAGTGTTGTCTTGGTGAGGTTAATGACCGCGTCCCACTGGGTGGGATCCTGAAGGGCATCAATTGACTTTTGGTCGCCAGTATCTGGCCAGTGGTACTGCACATGGAAGAGTATCAACACAGGAAAACGCTGACTTGAGTATGATATGTAACATTGTCATCCAACTTACTACTTCCATTGTACACTTGGACGACTGATGAGAAACGCTGACTATAAGTTAAGGTCGTTTAACTAAACCGAAAAACGCTCACAGTCAGATCCCTTGGGCGCATGCGACGCACACTTCTATTCCCGCTTCACTAGCCAGCACGGTTCACCGGTGTCGTTATATAGCATGATGCTTGTATACGCACATTAGAGGCGTGTCCCTTCATGATTCCGTTCTTCTCGGTTTATCTTTTGGCAGGTAACTAGAAATTGCTCACGTAGAAAAACCCACTTTCACATTGATTTGATGCATTCATGTTGAAATAGGTGGTAATATCATATCCAAATCCTCAACTATACAATAAATATGCAGGATCTGATAGTACTAGTAAGGCTTGTTGATCGCAACTATTTTACTGGTAGTTTGTACCAATAATGTTCATTATCGCAACTTTGCCAGTCTTCGCAAGTATTCCAGCTTTTCTGTTCCAAATCTCGAACATGGGAGCTTTTTCATGTATAGCAGTCGACTATATGCCAAGCGGTCGAGTTACCATATTCCCGTGTGCCCACTTTCAGTGTGTGCATTTTTCGTGTGTGTCTTTTGCTGTGCGCAATCTTTTTGTGCCCGCTTTTCCTCGGTTACGATTGTGGGTATATCGCAATTACTTCGTTAGACCATCTGTGTTGCGCTAATAAGACCACCATCCAGGGCTGTTATTCTAGGTAACTGCTCAGCAGATACGATCGAGAAACTCGAGTCAACACTAGCTGGTTTTCCAATTTTCACTTGTGAAGACTTATCAGCTCTGTGTAATCACCTCACTGTTTACATTAACTCGTTTGCTCTGTGCTGCATTACTGAGACAATTTATTTGCTGAAAGACAGATTTTCCTCTCCGATGTTCAAGCTACCACGGTGGAATAAAGAACAGGCCTATAGACATGAGCTAACTGCCCGTGACTATAAAAGCTGAGGTAAGAGGGTTAAACAGTCTATACATTTAGTACATTTTGTGTAACCATATTTGCCATTACCTTTGTAGACTCCTAATACTGCTGTCTGGAAAACATTCCTGCAGTACAACACACCGCACCGATGGTGTCGATAAACTAAACACTAAGTTCAGCTCCTCACCACCTAACGCACTCCCCTTGCCTTCACTCACCACCGCAGAGCCTACCACTTTATTTGATTCCACTATTGTTTGCAAGAAGCTCACAACACTGAAACCAAACAAAGTTAATGGCCCGGATGCTTTGTCAGCCGTCACTCCGATTGTGCAACTCTTTCAAAGACGCCTCTGATAGCCATCCTGAATTTGTGCTTAACGACCGGTACCATCCCTGATATTTGGAAATCATTTGGAATAACACCAATGTCTAAAAAAGGATCTCGCAAAGCAGAGATAGTTCACCACGGTCCACTCTGTCTGCAGGCTCTGGCAAGTCTGGAAAAGCACCAGACACCGCTCTTTCGATCTTCTGGGTCTCATCAGTGGCGCGCCTTTCAGCGGACCCCTGACGGGTTCTGCCCCCATGACTTCCGGATGCCAGCAGCTGGTACCACTTCGGCATGGGTGACAGCCGCGGACCTGCATGATTGACAGTGGGGCTAACCGTTGTCCTCTGCACAGTTCGTAACTGGCATGACAGTGGAAGGTGAGCCGGGCTATATCATACTCAGCTGTCAATCATGCAGGTCCGCGACTGTCATCCATGGCGAAGTGGCACTAGCTGCTGGCATCCGGAATTTATGTGGGCGAAACCCGGCAGGGATCCGCTGGAAGGCGCACCACTGACGCGACCCAGAAGCTCGAAACCCCGGTGCTGGTGCTTTTCCAGATTTGCCAGAGCCTGCAGACAGAGTGGACCATGATGAACTATCTCTATTTATACCAAATCCCCACTGCTCATTAGTGATCTCGCAAATGTCGACAAATCGCGTTCACCTCCGTGCTGTTAAAGGTACTGAAAAGGATATTGATGCACCGTCTTTCCATAGGCAGTCATATTGATGATGTCAAACAGTTAACCAGGGCGCTCTAAATTCGATGGCGTTTCGGATCCGGTGCATTCCATCTCGTTCGCGTTGGATAATAGATGCAAGAGCGTACGGCTACTATTTCTCGATTATACTAACACCTTTGAAGGCTTCCACAGCTCACTGCTGCTCAGCATTATCCGAATTTGGTGTCCGCGGTATTTGTGTGGTATGTGTGCTTACTTCTCCATTTGGACACAGCGATGCAGCAGAACTTTTTCTGCACCCTAAGCCAACTGTGGTATTTTGCAGGGTTCTGTCCCATCCCCTTCTCTACCACAAAAGTCTCCCATCCCATCGAATAATTGGCTGTAAATATGGGGATGACGTCATCCTGGGTTGCATACTCTCCATAATCGAGGACTTTGCAACTCCAACTTGGGTTAGATGAACTAGTGACTTGGTCGAACTCCCTTTCCCCCTCAACCCTTCCAACTGTTGTGATGTAACGTTCTGTTTTTAACGTCTCGTTCCATTGTACATATCTCCTCTCCCTTGATTGTGAGCATTGAAACCATACCTCTTTTCTTTGCCGTAAAGTATCCAGAGTTTTCTTATTTCACAATTTCCTCTTGGTCTACACCCATTTTTGAAACCCAAAGGTTAGAATACTCTCTTTTTACACCCTCACATGCTTTAATTCTGAGGTATGTAACTGTATGTATTTTATCTCACTGATTATGCACTTAAACTTGGTATTTCTAAGCTGTATGAATTTTATTCCACTTTATTTGGTTTGTTCTGCCTACCTGAATTATCTTCTATTAACTGGCCACGTTGCTTACGTTAATTGTGGTTATCTTCGTTAACTTTATAGTGTTCGTAGTATTTTTTGAGTAACTCGTGGACATTTTGTACTTATCGCGGATTCGTTGCTAATCAACTTCATATGCTATTTATCGAAGAGTTATGTCTGCATAGTCGTATTCTTTAACAGCAATACTTTATTTGATAATGTCCTTTCAGTGGAGTGGCTGTTGCTTGATATCCCCGTTGTGGCTGCGCTTCTTATGCATGCTGACAAGGTGCCTACCTGTCTAGTACCCACTACCTCGTTCATACTGGCTCCAGGAGACAGTTGGTCGTTGCTGGAGGGGACGGGATGCACGGTCCTCGTGACGGTGCTAGGCTCAAAGAGTGGTTCCATGCACTCAATATGGAGCGGACTACGGTCCA